GTTATTTTTGAACTTTTTTAAAGCAAGTAGATAAAAATTTATTAAATATAAAATTAAATGTGGATGTACCATAGAGCAGTGACAATTGTCATAATCGTTATTTTTGAACTTTTTTGAATTTTTTTGAAGCAACAGAGTAAAATAATAAATTGTAAACATGTTAAATTGAAATTTAAATGTGGATGTACCATAGAAAAGTGACAATTGTCATAATCGTTATTTTTAATCTTTTTTGAATTTTTTTGAAGCAAAAGGGTAAAATTATATATTGTAAACATGTTAAATAAAAATTTCAGTGAAGATGTACCATAGAAATGTGACAATTATCATAATTGTTATCTTTGAACTTTTTTGATTTTTTTTAAAGCAAATAGGTAAAAATATATATTGTAAACCTGTTAAATTAAAATATCAGTGAATATGTACCATAGAAAAGTGACAATTGTCATAATCGTTATTTTTAATCTTTTTTGATTTTTTTTGAAGAAATTATATATTGTAAACTTATTAAATTAAAATTTCATTGAAGATCTACCATAGAAAAGTGAAAATTGTCTTAATTGTCATTTTTAATCCCTTTTAAATTTTTTTGAACTTACAGGGTAAAATAATAAATTGTAAACTTTTTAAATTTAAATGTGGATGTACTATAGATAAGTGACAATTGTCATAATGGCCATTTTTAATCTTTTTTGAATTTTTTTTAAGCAAAAGGGTAAAAATAATAAATTATAAACATCATTAATTAAAATTTAAATGAGGATGTACCATAGAAATGTGACAATTGTCATAAACGTTTATTTTAATCTTTTTTGAATTTTTTTGAAGCAAAAGGGTAAAATTATATATTGTAAACATGTTAAATAAAAATTTCAGTGAAGATGTACCATAGAAATGTGACAATTATCATAATTGTTATCTTTGAACTTTTTTGAATTTTTTTATAAGCAAATAGGTAAAAATATATATTGTAAACCTGTTAAATTTAAATTTCAGTGAATATGTACCATAGAAAAGTGACAATTGTCATAATCGTTATTTTTAATCTTTTTTGATTTTTTTTGAAGAAATTATATATTGTAAACTTATTAAATTAAAATTTCACTGAAGATCTACCATAGAAAAGTAAAATTGTCTTTCATTTTTAATCTTTTTTAAATTTTTTTGAACTTACAGGGTAAAATAATAAATTGTAAACTTGTTAAATTTAAATGTGGATGTACCATAGATAAGTGACAATTGTCATAATGGCCATTTTTAATCTTTTTGGAATTTTTTTGAAGTTAAAAAGAATCTATGAATATAATTCCCAGGAAATAAAATTCCCATTTTTTAAGATATTAAAAATTACAAAATTAGTAAAATAGTCACTATCTCCAGGTCTCTTAAATCTTTCTACATCTACATGTTGGTACCAATTAACATTATATTGTTTATTATATATAATCTTTTAGATTTTTCCTCACAGGAAGAACCATCTTATTCTCAAAATATTTCAAATTCAGTTTTATTTGGTATAACAAATAATTCTTAACCCAATCAAATAAATTTTTCTACAATAAACTCTGATACCTATCATAAACCACAAAAGAAATATAGCAATTGGAGTCAGGAAAAAATATAAATAGCCATAAACAGAATAAGAGGCCATCCGTCAAACTCCCTCCTTCAAGGGGGAAAACGTATCGGTTTTGGGTACCATTACAGCAATGAAAATTAAAAAAAAATTTGAATTCAATTTTATAAAAAAAAAATTATATAATACTTTTTTTCAATCTGGTGCCGCCTCGCTGGCACCAGCAAATTTCATTTTTTTGAGATTTTTATTTTCTTTAATTCATAAGGCAAAACATTAAATAAAAATAAATAAAGGAGGGAGAGAGAGAGACAATGGGAAAAACGAAAAGAAAAGAAAATGCATTTTTTATATCTTCATTTAACATTTGATTTTTTATAAATATAAAAAAAAACATTAAATAAATGTATCCCATCCAAATTTATAAATGGGGGTTTTATTTGGCCTCAATAAAACAATTATTTTATTCATTTTTTTTATTTTATATAACATTAATTCCTGATTTTTTATTTCAAAATATAATAAACAAGTGAAAATAAAAATAAAAGGAAAAAACAAGAAAGTTAAAATTAAAAATTACAAAATTTTTTTTTTATATATAATGCAAAATAAAAAAAATCTCAAAGATATTCTAAAGGAGCATTTTTTAATCGATTCTTCTGATATTATCCTATTAGGTACATCAGTCCTTTTCCCATTATACAAATTCACAATGAAATTACAAAAAAGTAATATTGTAATAGGTGATTCTTTTGCTTCATGGCTAGAATGCAAAATGGAGCTGGAGGAAATGGATAATAATTTATCTAAAAGTATGTTGGAATGTTTAAACATTAGAGAAAGCTATCTTTTTCAAAATGACGCATTTCGTAGTGCGATATATATGGATCATAGATTCCATTATGAAAATGGAAAATATCCTTTGGAAGAAGATAAAATATTGGCCAGGGTAAATTAATAAATTTATAATATACATCTTTTTATTTTAGGAACATATATTTGCAACTTGGAAACAATTGCAAGCTATTGACCCTCATGAAGAAAATACAACTCTAGTTATGCCTTCCACTAGTGATTATAAAAAAACAAAACTTGACCTTTACATTGAGCGTGATTGCAAGAAGGGACCTATATTTTATGAATTATGTAATAGCGATATCAAGCTAAAAATAAAATCGTTATTATACAACAAAAGATTGCCATCCTCACAAGATATTTGTCACTTATCTATAGTACATCCACATTTAAATTTAAAAAGTTTACAATTTATTATTTTACCCTGTAAGTTCAAAAAAATTTAAAAGGGATTAAAAATGACAATTAAGACAATTTTCACTTTTCTATGGTAGATCTTCAATGAAATTTTAATTTAATAAGTTTACAATATATAATTTCTTCAAAAAAAATCAAAAAAGATTAAAAATAACGATTATGACAATTGTCACTTTTCTATGGTACATATTCACTGATATTTTAATTTAACAGGTTTACAATATATATTTTTACCTATTTGCTTTAAAAAAATTCAAAAAAGTTCAAAGATAACAATTATGATAATTGTCACATTTCTATGGTACATCTTCACTGAAATTTTTATTTAACATGTTTACAATATATAATTTTACCCTTTTGCTTCAAAAAAATTCAAAAAAGATTAAAAATAACGATTATGACAATTGTCACTTTTCTATGGTACATCCACATTTAAATTTCAATTTAACATGTTTACAATTTATTATTTTACTCTGTTGCTTCAAAAAAATTCAAAAAAGTTCAAAAATAACGATTATGACAATTGTCACTTCTCTATGGTACATCCACATTTAATTTTATATTTAATAAATTTTTATCTACTTGCTTTAAAAAAGTTCAAAAATAACGATTGTGACAATTTTTACAATCATTAAAACCATCTCGAAACATGCTCAAAAAATTTTTCTCGCCTATTTAATACCTAAAAATAAAATTATTTTTATAGGTTCTGTTATGAATATTATGACAATTGTCACTTTTATAGTTTACACATTATATTAATTCATGTTGAAATAATCATTTTTCTCTATTTCCAATTAAAACATATGTGAAATAAGTATTATGACAATTGTCACCTTTATATGCTTTACAATCACTGAAACCATCTCAAAACATGCTCAACTAGCCTTTTTAAATTATAATTATTTTTAAAGGTTCTGAGATGAGTATTATGACAATTGTCACTTTTATAGTGCAGTGACCTGACTGCATTAATCGGCAGATATCTAATCTAAATTACACGTCATATGTTTTTTATCGTTATATTATTCTAATTATTCCCTATTTTTTAAAGATAAAAGCAAGCCTGGCAAGCATTTTTTTAAATATTTTATTCTATAGAAGAGTCAATAAATCAGAATGATATGCTATTTATTTTATCCGAAAATTCTAAGCCTTAATTACATACAATCACTAACAATTAATGTAAATGCAAATATTAACTTATTTTTTAAAAAATATAGGGTTTAACGTGAGGCTCGAACCCTCGGAGCCTCATGTTCTACTGACTGAGCTAGCTGGTATAGTTGAATAATGGCTAAATGTCGGCTCAATCTTCAGGCGCTCTGAAAATTCGTTAACCTTAAAGCCGTTTAATTTATATAAGTTTCTTCCAAATTTGAACTGTTATCTTTTTAAGTAAACCCCCCAAATTGATAATTTTCGGCTTAAGATTTGGTTTAGCCAGCTAAAAATGGGCATAAACGGCTAAAAATATATTAATTACCCGACTATACTAGCCGGGGAATAACGCAATGCGTATTTTTAGCTGATTTTTATTTAAGCCACAATTTTTGTCTTTTAATGTAAAATCAAAAAATGAAATTTTATATCAAAAATATAGAAAAAAAACAAAAAAAACACTAAATTTCTAGGTTTCTTTTCTTTGTAAAATAAAAAATCGATACAAAAAAATTAAATTTATTTACAAAAATTATTCATTTGTAAAATAAAAAAATATAATATATTATCAAAAAAAAAATTAGAGCAAAATAGAGCAAATAAATGCAAAACTTGGTAAATAAAAATAAAATAAAATTTAATATATTATAATTATTATATTATATCTGATGGTATAATAAATATATTAACAAAATAAAAGGAATAAAAATAGGAACAATCGTGACATAATAAGATGGACGACCTCGTTCTTCCAGTTCTTACACCAAAATCGGATATTATATTTATTTGATATTTCGTTATTAATTTTAAAATATACTATAATTAATATAATATATTAACAAAAAAAAATAAGATGAAAAGAACATATTATTTTTATTTAAATCTATTGTATTAATTCACTAGTAAAAATATTAAGTAAACAAAATTTATTTTTTGAAATATGTTTTTTTGCTGTAGTATATAATATTTTTTTTATATGCTAATAAATATAAAACGATGTTTTTTATATTCGCTAATTCTAATAATTATATGTTTTTCTTGTTACCCTCCTCTTATGATGTAATAGGATTTTAAAGTCACTTTCTCACTCAAATCAAATTCTGCAAGTTTATTAATTGTTTAAAAACAGGTAATATTTTATCAAAATTCATAACTGTTAAAAAAAACATTCTTATTTTAAAACTTTAAAATCATCTATTTACCTTTGAATGTGACAAAAAAATTAATATAACTTAGAAAAAAAAAATTCAAAAATTTTTTTTGTTTATTTATTTTAGAAATGAAAAACGAAGAAAATATGGTGCCATTCTATGATAGCGGCGAAGATGTTAAGGTTGACATATGTAACATCACTGATAACCAACCTAAACAACGCAGAAGGGGAAGAGGCTTAAAATATAAGAGGATTAAGACCTTTAGCAATTTGGATGAAGTAAAAATCAACTCATATGACGGATACTCGTGGACTGTTTTTTCGGTTGATCGCACTGACGAGGGAACCAAAAAATATTACCGTTGTTCTACCCAAAGAGGGTCCAAATGTCCCGCTCGTATTTTCTTGTTATTTCACTCCAGCAATTTCGAGATAACTTTATTTCAGGCCGAATTCGAACACAATCACACAGTAATCGGCAAACAATCCGGATTAGCCGGCGATATGAAAAAATTAATAAGATCGTTATACGAAGAGGGTTACAAAACCGCTAGCCAATGTTTGAGAAAATTAGAAGATATGAATGTCAATAATCTACCTTTGCTTAAACAAGTGAATAGTTACGTGGCGACTCTTCGCAGGAAAAGTTCGAGTCCAATAAGAATCAGCTTAGGTCGCTTCCGGGATTGGTGTATTAAAAAATCCACGATTCCTATCGATATCGACGAATGTTTTGTTGGTAATCACGAAATTATTGTCGAACAGGACCCTCCCAAGTTGCGTGTGTTTGTTACCACAAAAAATCTACTCTCGAACTGTTGCCGATCCGATCACATTTGCATCGATTCAACTCATAAGCTCCTTTGGCAAGGTTATCCGGTTTTGATTACAGGAACTACCGATAAAAAGAGCGCATTTCATCCCTTCGGTCTAGCTATTTGCTTGAGCGAAACTGCTGAAGATCACCAGTTTATCTTTGAGAGCCTGCGATTGAATTGCCTGAAAATTCATAACCATATTTACAAGCCGAAAATATTAATCGCCGATGCCTCGGACGCTATAACGAAAGGTTTTGTATCCGCTTTTGACTCCATGGAAAAACGAGTGGTATGCTGGGCACACGTTAAGAAAAATATAGATTCACATCTGCGAGTCGTGGGAGAATCGAAGCTCATGAATAATTTAAAAGATGACATTGAATTTCTTCAAACGTTGCAATCCCAAAAGATATTTGATAAAGGCGTCGAATTGTTTCGTCAAAAATATGCTTCTCAGAACTCGATGGTCGTTGATAATTTTATCGAATATCTATCAAAAGAGTGGATCATCTCGAACAAAGGATGGTTTGAGGGTTATGTCGTAGGTTATCCGTCGACTAATAATAGCCTAGAAACCACAATCAAGGCTATCAAAGATCAATATACCTTTAGAGAGCGTCTCCCCCTTGAAGAGTTTTTAATTGTACTTGAAAGAGATATTGTCAATAAAATGTCTCGAGAGCGCAACAGCCATATATCTTCTCCAACCTCTGAAGACTTCAAAATATTTTCCGTCGCCCCAGACATAAATATGGAGATGTGGACAACGACTTATCAGTGGCTCAAAAAAAATCGAGGGGTTATTCCACTGAATAATAAATGGAGTCAAAAAATTCATTACATAGAAAATAGCCTTACTGACCAGTTCAATTTGATAATCGTTTCCAGATATATGGAAAGGCAGGAAAACTTGGATTGGTCTAATTTTGAGAGTTTTAAAAAGGATCAATTTTCCGTGTGGGAAGTTTGTTTCGACAAGGATAATTGGGGAAAAAGCAATTGTTCTTGCCCTCATTTTTGTAAAAAATACGTCTGCAAACATATACTTGGCTTGGCCGTTAGGTATAAGTTGTGCGTAATACCCTCAGAAGCAAAGATATTATCTTTGACTCGAACTCCCAGAAGAAGCGGGGCTAAAAAGGTCATACTCATTCAATAATTATTGTAATTATATAATATGTATTAATATATGTTTTTGTTAGTATAATAAAAACTAAAATATTAACATATGTTCGTATAGTTTATTTTATTTCTCTATTATACGATATTTAATTTTAAAAAGGTGCCCTTTTGATCAAAATTAAAATAACAAAATTTATAAGATCATGTAGTAACCTTTCTGCCATCTATGAGAAAAATTTCCAAGCTTCCATATTATTATAATTAAATCATAATGTGCCCGTTTTTGAAAATCGACTTAAAACAGCACTAAGATCAATGATTTGTAACAAAACCTTTTTCCCATGAATCTTGAACTGTTGAGTAGTATGCGGGTGCATAGCAACACTTTATCAATGACATTAATAAGAGCCTAGACTTGATAATTCATTTAATAAAAAATTGAAGTCATTGAATGTAGTAGACGCAATTGAAAGTCATTTTGTCTAAATGCCTTTCATTAGCGGACTCCAGTGGATGTAATAATCGTTCGTTTTGCACCTAGTGTTCCGATTTTACATCAATTCGGATTATTCGATTCTTTCGTATGAATATTAATTTTAACGAATAACCGTTAAAACCTTTAATCCTATTTATTACCATTATATTAAAAAAATATATGATTGCTATAATAATGCTAAGAATTTTGAAATACTACTAGAATGCTTTAACGAAAATATTTAATTATTTAAAAAATAAAAAAAAAACACATTTTAGTTTTACAGAAAATTGTATACAGAAGTTAATTATAAAAATAAGTTCCACTCCGTCCAATTTATAATATAAAGTATTTCCACATATTATGAAAGCTAGTATTTTGTCACTAAAAAAAATAAATAAGCAACAATAATAATAATTAAAGAAACATATGCTTACAATTTAAGCTTTGTAATTTAAATAGTTAAGCTAGGCCATGACCTCATAAAAAAGATTGAAAGCAAGGGCGAAAATTAATGTTGTGGCTCGATTTGAGCCAATTTTTAAAAACGACTAACTTAATATTTTATGCAGAAAAATATTCCGCAAGTCTGAAAATGTAGTTCATAGATGGCACAAAGGTCTGGACATCTACCAGCGAAATCTTGAAGCTAGTGTTGTTAAATGGCTCGATTTGAACCAATTTTTGAAAACGGCTCACTCAATATTTTAGCCATGGCATAAGCCTCGAGATTTCGCTAATAGATGCGCAAACTCTTGTTCCATCTATGAGCAAAATCTACATTATCGCGTAAAATTTTTCTGGATAAAATATTGAGTTAGCCATTTTTTTTAAAAAAATCGGCTTAAAACGAGCTGTTTAATAACAATACTCAATTAGAGAATATTTTTCTGGCCAAAATATAAAGTTAGCCGTTTTTTAAAATCTGCTCAAAACAAGCCGTTTTACAACACTAGCAAAAATAATGTATTAAACGTAAACACAATAAAATATAAACCATATTAGAGTAAACACTAGTAGTCAGAAAACAAAGCACGCTGAAAAATATTAGTAAGAAATAGCTGAGTATAAAAATAAAAAAAAATTATTTAGGCTGGGCCCTACATATATTGAGAAAAACCTCAAAATTTATAAATTTTCGCAAATTAATGAAATTATGAAACATATCCGAAATCCCATCAATTTTTTTAAAAAGAAAAAAAAATACACAACCAAAAAGCCAAATAAAGTTAAAAAAACGAGAATAAAATACCAAAAAACAATGCTATCAAATACTTTAATATTAATTACTAGTTTCATAAAAATTACACAAATTTATAAATTTCAAGCAATATTTTATTAAAATAGATGATATTTTTTTTCTTCACAATTAATCAATTTATTTATTTATATTCTTGATATTTAGGATACAGACTTAAAAAAAATTTTATATTTAAAAAAAAGGAATTATTTTATAAATTTTTAAAAAAAAAATTAAAATTTTTAAGAATGAACCGCCAAAAAAAAGTTAACTTACGTTTGTTTGAACAAAAAATTTAATATTCGAATATTTTTTTCTACTATTCGAATAATTACTCTAATTAAAATAAAATTGTTCGATTGCGAACAATATCAATTGAATAATATAAATAATTATCTGATTATTAAAATAGCAAGGATTTCGCCCTAACCCGGCCTTTCGCTGGGAGATGAGGGGCGAGAGGGAGGGAGGCTCTTGGCAGCATTGCTAATGGGGATGAAGACGGGAACAAGGAGGAAAAAAAAGCAAGTAGGATGCTAATAATCTAGAATATATACACAGCTGTTTTATGATTCGGTGATTATGGATTTCATTGGCGTAAGCTTACTAATAGGTATTACAATAAGAAAAACCTATGTAATGTTTAGTAAATATTGTAATATTTACAATTATGCTACCTGGAAAAAGCATAATAGGAGAGATGTGGCATAAATGCCATCTGGCCACCAGCTTCAGCATTATCTATTGGACCAATTTCTCCAAAAATTGATCAAAATATGTATATTTATGTTACGTGCATTAACTAACTTCATTTATTAAATAGAAAAATCCAATAATAAAATATTTTAAATAAACTGTTTTTAGCACCTCATTCTAGAAAAATCACGTATTACATTTTTTTGTTTGGTTAAAAACAGTGGCGTAGCTACGGGGGTGGTTTTCGGGTTTGGACCCCTCCCAGAGCAAAATTTTTTTGAGATTATACGTTCAAGAGACTTAAAAGTGATTTTATATGAATTATATTTTTCTGGTTTTGATGTTTGTGGAAGGATATTATATTACTATTGAAATTATTCTGGATAGTATTATTATAAAGTCAATCTACTAAATTATAATAACATATTATTGATGCATTTAAAAAATATATTTATTATATATTATCGAAGATATGGTTATGATTTGTAAGATAAACCCGGCCGAAGGCCGAGGCAAAAGGGCAGGGGGTCTGGGAGGCGAAGCCCTTCAGCTTTTATATGTATGGACCCCCTCTAAGGAAAATTCCTAGCTACGCCACTGGTTAAAAAATTACTAAATTAAATTACTGATTTTTGTATAAATATTATCTTTAGGTATTTAGCATTATTCACAAATAAATTAGAGCTTACAAATTTTATTTATACAAAAGGTATTTGATGATAATAGACAGGTGAGTATTGTCTACATTGGCCAAATTAATACATTCACACATTCATATTGATAAGTTTATGTAAAGCAACATTTGGTGAAAATGCAAATAATTAAAAAATTTAATGTACAATTGATGATATAATCATTAACAAAAATATTGGTATATCTATTAAATTTAATATTCCTAGACTAGAACATCTTTAAGAAGAGTAATGCAAAAATACAAAGAGAATTTGTAATATCCCCCCCCCCTCAATATGGAATGGAACAGTCAAAAGATATTAAAATAGCTATTATTTGATACCTATATCGATATTTTGTTGATAGTCACCAAACCTCAGGAGAAAATTTTAAAAGATTGTATAATACAAGCTAGCAAATCATTCATGGGGTTTAGTATAAAATCTTAAAACTTATAAATATTTTAAAGCATTTTTTTAATGATATTAATTTAATAAAAATTATCAGGGTTGTGCATTTGACCGGTAATAAATATTAACATAGGTCATACAATATATGTATTAACTGGCCAGAAAAACTACTTTCACATAACCTCATCTAAAAACCGATTCCTAAATAGAGATTTGATTTTAATATTTTATTTTAATGATTAAGAATTAGGATACACGTTGATATTAAATTTGTTTAGTTAAAACCAACTCTCAATCCCAATTTTTTGGGAAAAGGCGAAATCATGGCCAGTCATACTCACACCACATCTCCCCTAAACAATATGTAAACGCAAGGCTGTTATCAAACTAGTATGTGAAGTAGGCCTATTCAAAAACGAATTCGAATCGAATAGTTTTACGAATAATAAAATCTACTATTTGTATTCGATTCGAATTATTTGAATAATTGAAACTAATTTTTTTAAATAAAATATATCATACTCAAATATATTGACAAATTTTTTATTGCAAATTTGATTTTAAACAGAAATATTATTATAATAATTAATAAAAAATATGTAATCAAGTTATAAACAAAATTAAAATGTATATTATTAATTTAATTCATAATTTTAGGCCAATTTTTAAGGCAAAGAGTTTTTCTTATATTTTTTTCCTTATATGACATGCGATTTTTTGACAACAAATTAGTTCCAACTAAGTCGTTCACAAGCAGTTGATGTTCCTTGTATAGATAGATATTCCCTAGGTGTGAATGAAACCTATTATAATGATTAATAAGAGGGGATGTTGTTTTGCCTTTACATTTTATAATGCTCTTGAAATAATTGAAAAAGCCTTTTCACCGTCTTTATTTATTTGATATTTTCATATATAATCGCTCTTATTGTAGGAAAATTTTGTCAATTTCAATATCAAACATAACTATTTCATCAAGCATTCTCTTCTAACATAATTAGGCTACTAACAATAAATTATTGCAGAAATTTGTTATATTTTTATATATATTTGGTTTGCGTAATTCTTTAATATAATTTATTATGAGATTCAAAAAATAAACTTTTCACGAGATTCGAAAAATACAGCAAATAAAAATTTAAATATTGTTTTAATTTTCACTTTAAAGATTTTATTTGTGCTAGACTTTTTATAAACACATTACCAGTCAGATTAATGTTATATTTATTAAAAGCAATTTATAAGATATTCCGAATTATTCCTTTTATTCGAATCGAATAAATAATTATTCGTATTCGGATAAAACAAATAATTTATTATTCAATTCGAATTTTTTTTGAATAGGCCTAATGTGTAGGAATATTTAAGGCAGGTAAAAACGTCAAAGGAGATATTTCTCTAGAATAATAATAAGTGGAAAATAATTATTTTGTCATATACATCAATTATAATAGAAAATTATAATAGAAGAGTAAAGAGCAACCACTATCTAATATAAGCATTTATAAAAATAAAGTAACAAAGTGGTAATTTTATATGTAATAACCAGAGACCTACTTCACGTCCTAAGCCTGTAAAAATTTTTTTAAAATACCAGAGCTGGGCAGAGA